AGTCTGTGGTGATCAAATTAGAAATAATCGGGTAGATGGCCGAAACACTCATGCCAAATTGCACTTGCTAACCAGTCAAATTCGTAGATATCATAATTCTCTTAATGCAACGAATAGCTCAAAAGGCTTAAATTAAAAATAAAGGGAAATATGAAATATAAAATTCCCAAAGCTCGAAGAAGTAGGTACATGATTGTCATAGACGAGGCGAACGATCTCTAATGTTAAGCGAAGTTAAGAAGCATATGTGTGTAGAAAAATGCTAAGGTTCACATAAATAAAGTGACGTGGCCGAAGAGAAAACGTCTAACTTGTGACGACATGTGTTTGGTTTTTGACAGAAAGTTATGGATAAAAAAATCAAATGCAGAGTTGGCAAAGCCATGAAGCATCATAAATAATAAGAGGCAGCCACAGGAAAAAGATACCAATGCAGCCAGTTATGCTAGAAATGGAGGTGCAAGAATATCATGAAAAGTAATTTATTTTGCAAATTCCGCTTATAAGCGAAAAGGTAGTCTTTTCCAGTAAACTGTCCCAGCGAATAAGAAAGTTCATCGTTGGAAAAGGTAATGGTAGAAACTAGATTAATTTCGAAGTGTCATTTCAAACAGGGAAATCCGAATGCTCACTGGAGCCGGCGGAGAGAGAGTGCAGACTCAACTTGTCATGATAGGCTTCTACGAGCTCAGGGTTTAGCACTCCATCACATTGCGAGATTTTTCCGTCAACAAGGTTCCCACACTCGACGACCCTTTGAAAGGCAGTGAAGGAAGAGAGAGGATCGCCGATACACGCAGACTTACAGCAAGTTCTGGAGTTAAGAGCGGAGGCCAGGAAAGGAAGGCCAGGAGAGTAATTCTGTTGCTGCATGAGGGGTGCATTTATGCATTGGGAAGTGGGGCATTCCTTGGCCAAAATGTTGGAATTGCAACAATCCAAGTATGGATCTTTGCAGTAGCAACTTACCATAGGACCATAGGCAGTTGTTTGGGGATGATAATAAGACGTAAAAGGAGGAAAAATACCACGCTCCCTTATGCAGATATGACAAGAGTCAGGAGCCGGTTGAGCTTCTCTTTCTGTACAGCAGTGATAGGAATTAAATGCCACCGCTGGAGTAGGATCAAGATTTACAGTGTGGCCCTGTTCGTACCCAAGATCGAACAGATTGTGGAACTGGGGGAACGGACTCGGACAGGGAGATGAATCGTCATCCTCAGCCTCATCCTCCCTTTCTAAATTTGCCTCCAACTCTTGGTCTACATCATCGTCATCGTCATCGTCGTCGTCGTCGGCATCAACG